CAGTCAAAGCATACAACAATCCCTATTCAGCAGTGTCTACTACCTTTTTGGTTTATGTGGCACATCTGAAAATTAAGAAATAACTTAATCTTCAACCAACAAGTGCTTAGTAGCCAGAAAGATGTTGATATTGCTTTGATCGATGTTAATCAATGGATTGAAGCCACTACAGTATCGTCTTCTACTTTCTCTGTAACATCTACTAGGGTTGCAGGTAGTTCTGGTTTTGTAAACAACAAATGGGAACGTTCCCCACTTAAATTCATCAAATGTAATTTTGATGCCGATTTTGACCTAATAAGCCGTCAGATTATAGGGGGTTCGATGGTTTGTGATGTTTACGGCATAGCAAAATATTGGGGTAGCACATCTTTGGAAATTGCAAATTCTCTTTTGGAGGTTGAAGGTAAAGCGCTTCTGATGGCTATATTAAGCATTAAATTATGGGGTTTTTGTAAAGTCCAGTTGTAGGGGATTGCCAAACCATTATCGCTCAATTGCATGGGGAGAAGCTGGATTACTCTATCACTAACTTATGCAAGGACATCTTCTTCTGTGTATCTGCCTTTAAGAATTCTAAATTTCTACTCACTCGGCGAATGAACAATGAAATGGTTCATACTCTGGCGAAGCATGAACCTCCCAATCGTGTTTATTACTTTGATTATTTGTTTCCTTCTATTTGGATGTCTCTTTTTTACATAAAGATGATGTACTATCACGTTTAAGTTAATAAAATCAGTTTGTGGAAAAGAAAAAAAAATATTTGTGGGCGCCTGTGAGTATCGTACAACCTATAGGGAATTTTTAAAACTATTCTACTGATACTAGGATTTTTTCAACCAGAATTTTTATAAAAAAAGATTTTCCTGGATTAGGGTCAGGATAGGGTATGTTTATCCACTACAACATCATAGATGTGTGAATATGGATAAGCTAATGGGTGGCTAGTTATTTAGGTTGAGTCTATTATATTAGATTGTAAGAAATGGATAACCTTGGAGCATTGTTTGGCTATAACATATTTGGCTATTATGGTTTTATAAGCTTGAAGGAGAATACCATATGGTATACAATGCATTATTTGACTATGATGGATTTGGTAAAGAGCATTAAAGTGTGTTGTTTATATTGATACTAAAGATGTGGACAGTGTGGTGTGTTGCAAAAATATCGTATGTAAATTTGTAAAGAATGTTATGTGTAAAGTGGCATGTATTATAATTGAAGTGTGGACAGTGAGTTTATTGACAGAGGATTTTAAAAACATGAATAACATTTTCCAAAAATATCAAAATAAATGTATCATTATGGGCATTATATATAGTGGTTGAATATCATGTTGATATATAAGCATGGACATTAGATTGTAGATGTAGTGAGTATATGGCATCATTTGGCTATAATGGAATTGGTTTTGTTGGATTGGTGATGATCGTACCAAGCGAGTGTGGCCATAGATACACATGTACATGCCCATTCAAAAAAAAATAAGCCATACGTACATGTGAAATTGGATGGTTTTTGTTGGATGAGTTAATATGTCATGGTGAAAAATTTTGATGTATAGGTCACATGTTGTGTACACAGAATGAGAAGTTAGGAGAATGAGTTAGTTGTTTTTTTCTGAAAACATAAAACAAAAAATCATGGATAAAATAATATGGGCAATGATAATTCGACGTCCATATAACAAGATGAGAAAACACATAAAAATATGAGAAGGCATTGTTATACATAATTACAAAATGCTAAGAATAAGAAAATACAAGTCATGTGGGTAGAAAAACTAGAAAGAATGTCTACATGGAGAAGGAAAATACAGATGCAGAACCAATTCTTTTGTAGATATGTATATTATATTTCTTGCAAAAGGATTTTATAAGGTTTGCATAGTTTATTATTTTGTATAAATTATTAGAACATCTTCATTAGAAGTATTTAAAAAAGTTTCTAATATTAAAAATAATAAAAGTTGGGAAGAAAAGAATGAAAAGGGTCTCTCAAATCAAACTTTGAGATAATTTAATTTAACTTTTTTAAGAAACCTTAAAATTAAACCATACAATTATACTATATTAAAATTATTATTATTATATTGTTAAGAGACCTTTGTTAAGTTTTATAAATATTTTTAAAATAAATATTAGTATTTTGAAAATTGATATTCTGAAAGTGATATTTTGGAGAAAAAAAAATTAATATTTGTTTGTATTACAAAAAAAAACTAATAATATTTTTTTCATTTTATAATGAACTTCGATAAGAATTTCCCTTAAACTAATATTACGTTGATCTAATATTACCTATAAAAGACTATCTAAAGAGGAAATCTATTGATTGAACACAAGTACCCTTTGAGCTAGTATATATTCTAATAGATTACGTGGTTCATCAGGACCAAAGACCCGCGAGTCCACTGGATATCAAAACAGCTAACATTTGTCCAGTCACTAGTGTGATGGCTCATAGAAGACTTGAGCCGCGTTTAGTGGCTTAGGATAGGCTCTTGTCACTTCACTATGACTTAGAAGCTTTGTTTTGGAAATTATTAATGAACCCCATGAGTGGTCAACATGTTTCGAGGAATCAACTTAAATGAATCACAAGAAAAAAAAAAAGCCTAATTTAATCATTTATGTTCTCTTTTGCTTTGGTTTTTTTTTCTTATGTACCAAGACGACCTTTTGGCTCGGCTATCTAGCTTTTTTGCGTAAGTCGTTTGATGTAAAAGGAAAAATTATAAGAGAGACGATTGCCACTTAATACAGAAACCAAACCTTAAAGCATAGTACGCTTTAGGGAACAATATATTATATAACAAGAGTGAGAGATTTATTTTACTACTAGAAACTGTCACTTCCTCACTTTCTCGGGAACAAGCCTGAGATGAACCGCCTTGTGCATAGCAAGACCTGTCATAACATCCATGTTGATCTCTTCTGGTTTCAGTCCATCAGCAAGTTTGAAGTCAAAGTTGAGCAAAAGGTTCGCATACGGAACCTCGATCATCGCCGCGCCAAGACGCATTCCAGGGCACATTCTCCGGCCTGACCCAAACGGTATAAACTCATAGTCCGTGCCTTTGAAGTCCACGTCCTTCTCAAGAAACCTCTCGGGCCTGAATTCATCAGGGTTTGGGCCCCACTCCTTCTCGTCGCGTGACACCGCCCACGCGTTTACGTTGACCGTGGTCCCCGCGGGGACATCGTAACCGGCGATCTTGGTGTCTTGAATGCAACAACGAGGGATAAGGAGAGGAATCACTGGTTCGATCCTTAAGGTTTCTTTAACTAAAGCTCTGAAGTAAGGAAGGTTCTTGACGTCGTCTTCAGTAATAAACGTTAGATCTTTCTCTTTTGCATACTCTCTCACTTCTGCTTGAGCTTTCTTCATAACTTGAGGGTACTTCATTAGATACGTCATCCCCCACACAACCGCCGCAGCCGCCGTGTCGGTTCCCGCAACCACTATATTCTTTTGAAACACAACAACGAAAAGAAGAGTGAAACGCAAGCGAGTGGGTGCTTGTAGCACAAGCAACGATTCAAAACAAAAGAAAATTGAGAAGTGGTTTTATACGTACCAAGATAACGCCTTTGACATTCCCAATTGTGAACTTGGAGGCGAATGGTTGTTCTTTGTAGACCTCCATCAAGAGATCGATCATGCTCTCCGTTTCTGGCTTTACCTTGTTGGGATCAAGTGTCTCATCGATAATCTCTTGTATGTAAGTGTCTTGTCTTTCAAAACAGTCCATCATATATTTCGTGAGGCCGGTCCAATTATCAAGAACGTAGCGAGTAAACGGGAAAAAATCAGAGAAAAAAATCTTCCCCAATACGCTCTGAGTCCCATAAAGAATCCTGATGAATCTCTTCATCTCTTCCCCATCTTCATTGTACTTCTTCCCGAAAGCTTGCCTACACACAACCGAGTTCGTGAAGGTCAACATAAGCTCGCTTATATCGACCGGTTCAGATCTCTCCGCAGCCTTCTCGATCTTAAACATCATCCTCCTAGCCTCCTCCTCCCGTACGTGCTTAAAGGTGGCTACACGAGTGGGGGAGAACAAGTGGTTCATGCCCATCTTCCTCATCTCCCGGTACAACGGTGTGTAGTGGTTCATCGCCATGTCACTTCGGCCGTAGGTCATGAGCTCGTGACCACGGTGAGGAGGCCGGTTGGCGAAGTTGACATCTTGCGTCTTGAGAAGCTCTTTGGTTAGCTCAGCCGAAGAAATTACCATCATTGTTTTGTTTCCTATCTTGTATGATAAGATTGGTCCATATTTTTTGGCCCATCCATAGAAGAACCGTTGTGGGTTAACCTGGCTAAGCTGGTGGAGGTTTCCGATCACCGGAAGCGGCCGTGGGCCGGGAGGCAGCTTATACCGTTTGGTTTTTGGGCTTTGGTAGAGGAAGAAGAGGAGAACGGCGGCGAGAGCCACAACGCCGATGATGATATCTTCCATTCTTAGTTGTTTACTTACTACTTTTGAGTGGTACATAAACAGCACACAGCTCCTTAATATATAGAGAAATTATTAATTGCATTCCTTTTCTTCTTTACCAAACCAAATACCATAACCGAATTAAACCGAAATCTAATTTTATAATCAAAACGCTTACTCCTTTTTTACTACCTACTTATGAAAACCTCACGTGTTAGAGTTGAGAAACACCTTCACCTACCCAAGGTCCCTCTAATGTCCTATGCTTTTAATTAACATATATGGTTATATACTTTCATGCAGTCGCAGTCATATTTGTCCATATCTATTTGTAGTTTACACAGATCTTTATTTAACTTGCTTCACTGAGTGGTCTAAACCAACCCCGGGCCTATGCACTATAGTACAATCCAATCTTATACAGAAAAATGTAACATACGCTGACATATATAGCTAGAATTCTAAAACATACTCAATTTTATAAATACAAAAGTAAAACCAAATTTACCTAAGGTACTTTGAACTAATCATAACGATGTCATACATAGCCAACATTTACTTTGTAGTTTGTCGCAAACTGAGTTTCCAAGAAATTTGCACAAAAGTTTGCTTGCGGAAGACTTTATTACAAAGTTGTTACTGAAAATAAATAAATGATGTGATTGACCTTTTGATAAATACGATAATTATTTATACACTATCATCGAAACCTCAACAACTTGTGTGGTTGCTTTCCGTCCGGGTCCAGTATAAAAAGCTGATATTGATATACCAAAAGGCCTACCAAGTTTGTCTAAAGAAAAAATTAACATATTGTTTCTCAAAACCAAATTAAGAACCAAAAAAGTGACGAGTTTGAGTTTACAAGACAAGGTTTGTTAATAGAATCAATTCTTCAAATGAAATCTCAGAAAAATGTGTTTCCCCTCAAAAGAGAGAGAGAGAAATGAAGAAAGATAAAGACCAACTTAAAGCTTTTTTACCGGATTGTACCATTGCTGATGGATGAAACCTTGCATACACCTGAATCTGTAGTGAAAGGCAAATCTTTGTAGCAAGCAACTAGATTCTCATTTGTGTGCAGATCCACCACAAGTGTCTCCCATATTTTCTTCTTAGGGTTTAAAACATCGTCTGGCTCGCCTTCAAACCCGGCAAACCTAACCCTCTCTCCGATCTTAGCAGATTCAGGAGGCTCGACTAACTCAACCTGAAAGTTCCCAAAAAACAAATTATCTATAAACGAAATGGATATAGCGTAACGATGAACAGGTCAGAGACTCATTCTTGTGGACTTTTACCTTGCTGCCATCACTACTAGAAGCGGCAAGAACCATCGCTTGTGACATAACATCCCTCATTTTCGCCGGCTTCAAGTTGCAAAGAACACAAACCATACGGTTCTGTCCAAAAAGAACAGTCAGATATATTGGGATGAAAGCAGATGACTAGGTTAGGTTTGATTCGTGGAGATTTAACAAACCTGCATCTCCTCAAGAGGTATGTATTTGACCAGTCCACTCACAACGGTGCGAACTTCACCTCCTCCAACATCGATCTCTTCCAAATACAATGAATCTGCGTTAGGATGTTTCCGAGCCTTGACGATTTTACCGACTCGAATATCAAGTCTTGCCATAGTAATTTCACGATCAGCAGCTGGTTGAGGTTTGGATGTTCCTGCTCCTTTTGATGCCTTTTGCTTTTTAGCATCTGGTAAGAGTAAAAAAAATAGCAGTTCAGTACATAATCAAGTTACTGAGCCACAAATTACTATGATGAGACAATAAGAATATAAGAACCTGAGAGTTTTGTCTTCTTAAGTTGCTCCGCCATGTTTACTGCTTCTGCATCCCTAGCTCGTCTATCAGCCTGACTTCCAGCGAACTTTTCTCTGTACTGTTGCACTTCTTCATCTTTCTGTGATCATATCATTTCACAGGATATAATTCAAATGCTACATGGTAGTATAACATACAACATGGATAAAATCAGAGAGAGGTATGTACCAATTCCTTGAACAACGGTTGAGGGTTGCCTATTTTGTGACTGGGAGGCAGAATCTCCCAAGGTCTACTTGCTATTAATACCTCTCCTCTCTCGTCGGAGAGTGAAAAATGTGGAGGCAAATCAAGCTGTTTGAATACCTACAAATTGCAAGAGACAACACTAATCACGCTTGCCATTAAACTAAAAACTACATAGAATCAATGTTTTAGAAACAATCAATAAAAACCTACCTCACGAGAAAAGGATGGCATGAAAGGTTCTAATAATTGTGCAAGAAGGTGTACTACACCAGCAGCAGTTCTTATAACAATCGCACAAGATGGTTTATCTTCCTTGTACAGTTTCCAGAATTTGGTTCCCTAAAAAGAAAAAAACAGCATAAATGGTTAGAACAAACAGCCAATAAAGCTAATATATATATTCGTTAATGAGAATAGAATTACCTGCAAGTATGCGTTTCCTTCATTCGAAATGGTCATAGCAACTTTCAGCCCCTGCTTGAGCTTAACCTTTAAATGAACAAGGAATTTATAAGAATATAAACAATCAGGCTTTGAAACTAAGATAGTCATACCACACCGAAGTCCATTACGATATTCCTCACCTTTTCCATGGCTTCGACATACTGTTCCACCAAACTTCCAACCTTTTCAGCTAGTGATTGCGTCAAAGGATGAGACTCAGCACCAGGAGCATCAGGGATAACAGACCCATAACCTTCACATCAATAAGTACATGTTATAGTAAGGCAGCGGAAAACATCAGAGACACAATATGGAAAGGTCTTGGGCCCGTTTTGAAGAGTATCACTAAGCAAGTAGCCAGAATTCTGGCAAGCGTTCTTACTGCTTGAATTTTTAATTTTGGAAAGCGAATTTCAAGATTTGACATCCACTAGAGTGTATGAACAGATACACATATGTATAGGCACTTGATCTTTAGAGTTTAGATATGTTATCTCCATAAACTTTACAACAAGAGGAATATTATCAGAGAGCGTTATATCAGTACAACAGAATAACAGAGTCCTCTTGCAAGCCAGATGCATCTTTATATCAATCCTAGACTATCAATTGTGTTCAAAAAAATTCAAAACAAAAATCAATCACATAATCACAAGCTAACAACATTTGACAAAAGATTGATGTCCCACGGCTCAAATGTCTCTGACTTGCACACTAACTGGCTGGTATCCATTAAAGAAAACAACACATCTTATATTTTTAATTGGATATATCCTTCTAAAGAGTCATCTACAGTTATCACTCATAACGGAACCCAATACTTAAATTTAGAAAGAGATCACCAACCTGCAGGCTCAGGCTTTGCTATAAAACTCAGGACTCGGTTAACAAAGTTGCCTAGGTTGTTCAGCAACTCGCCAGTAAGTTTTGCTTGCAAATCGTCCCATGTAAATAATGTGTCAGAAACCTGTATGACATATCCCCAGAAGCAGTCAGTATTGGTGAAATCTAAACACTCATGCATGCCCATGATAAATTGAGAAAAACAAATTTCCATTTTGTAGGAGTAATCAGTTACCTCAGGCCTGTTGGTCAGCAAGTAGTATCTCCATACTTCGACAGGGATATTTGTATCTTTGACGTCATTACCAAACACCCCAACACCTTTACTCTTGGAGAACTTTCCTGATAAGCGACACAAAAAACATCAATGTCAGAAAACAGAACAGCACACAACATCAATTTCAATAAATTCGCTCATCCTCCAAATTCCAATGGAAACCATGGTGAGACATCAACTGACCGGCTTCGTAATTCAAGTATTCAGTCACACTGATTGTCTTCATCAGTGTCCAATTTTCCCCAGTGCCAAGCTGCGTGGATGGAAACATAACCTGCATCACAACAAATTGGCAGTTGAAACAGTCAGATTTACGAAGATTAATCTTTCTCGGAGAGACTTTTAGGATAGCTTCAGATAAGACAAGAACCAAACAAGAAACTATGACAAGGATGATAGAGAAATAATATAGCAACAATATCAGAAACATGTCTCCAAGATATTCAAAACAAAACAAGTCTTGGTCACTGGAAATTTAGGAACAGATAGGTATTTTTTCCACTTTTGAAGAAAGAGGAAATAACTACAACCATCGGATTAAGTAAATTGGCGTAAACAAATTTCTGAAATGTAATACTCACAGTGTGAAATGGCACATTGTCTTTCCCCATAAACTGATAAAGCTCCACATTCTCAGGATTTTTCCACCACTGCTCCCATTCAGACGTGTAGCATGACGTTATTGAGACGTACCCAATAGGAGCATCAAACCAGACGTAGAAGACCTATAAACACAATTCGAATCAGTAGATGTAGTTTAATACGTTTAAGATATTTGCTAGCAGTGATGTTCTTACTTTGTCCTTATATTTCTCATGTGGCACAGGAACACCCCACTTTAGATCCCTTGTAATGCACCTCTGTCTAAGCCCTTCCTTAAGCCATGCTTTCGTCGTCTGAATAGCATTTTGACTCCAAGATCCAGTAACAGATGTCTCGTTAATATACTCTGTCAGCTTATCTTTCAGTAACGGAAGTTCAATAAACAGGTGATCTGTGTCGCGAATTCGAGGTGTGGTTCGACAGACCTGTTTGAGAGAAAAAAACATAAGCATCCGCAGTAATTAAATAACAGATCACACTCCTGTATTTCTATAAGAAACCCAAGTCAACAAAAACGTGAATAAATCTATCCTGCAGAAACATGTGACTCAGGCAAATAAGATAGGAGGATAAACGAAGCATGCACAGGACAAGCCAAGTCAACTAGCCACTACCAGTAGTATATATTATAAACATAGGCAATATATATGTAATGTCACAGAGCATTATAATTCTTGCATGATTACGACCTTCGCTTATAAACTAGTGCAGCTGTGCAACGACTCTCGACATAAACATGAACGTGTTTCAATAGAAGAGATTCAAAAGCATAGCCCACCTTGCATTTCGGATCTTTGAGTTCAGTAGGATTCAGGAGCTTTCCACATTTTTCGCACTGATCTCCACGAGCAGAGTCATAATTACATACTTCAAATGGACAAAAACCCTCAACAAGCCGGTCAGCTAAGAACTTCTTGCATGTATCGCAGTAAAGCTGAAAAACAATGGGCCACAAAGACTTGAGAGTTAAAAACCTGAGTGGTGTAGATCCTTCTACTTAATAAGAACATATGGATGCTCTTGCGATCAAATAAGGCTAACTGGCATTTGAGGAAAATCATTTACCTGCTGCATGGTGTTCTCTGAAAGAAAGTTGTTATCAAACAACTTCTTGAAAATTGCTTGGCACACTTCTGTCTGTTCTGGAGCTGAAGTCCGCCCAAACTTGTCAAAGCTTATATCAAACCAGTCATAAACTTCTTTATGAATGGCATGGTACCTAAAAGCACAATAAAAAAAGAAACATGGTAACATCAGAACTAACTGTGTACCATGGATGCTATAGTGCAAAGTTCTCTCCAAAACCATTTTCTGAATATCTGTTCACACTTATGTATACATCTCTCGCTTAAGTTGAACAACGATATACAATAAAGATTCAAACTTCTCATCTTGAAACAAATCTCATAAATCAACACATTCCAAATCCACTGATAATAAAAACTACTTCAAGAAACAGTTAAATCCCATAAACCATCAGCACAGATAAATTATATTTATATACTCTTAATCAGCAGATGATATGGTAACATAAGCTTACGCAATACACTAGAACAACAACAAAACAGAAAAGAAACCAAGATAAATTACTTGTCACAGATTTCTTTCGGGGTGCAATTTTCCTCCAAGGCTTTGGTCTCAGTTGCAGTACCATATTCATCAGTCCCACATATATATATCGCATTATAGCCACGGTTACGACAGAATCTTGCAAACACATCAGCACTCAGAACACCTGTAACAAAACATACACAGACAAAACATTCCATAAACCAACCAAGAAACCTGAAAATGAACATCATCACGAAAACAAAGAAAACAAGCAGCAACATCGCCTCAGACTGGAGTCACTAGCTGTCCTTATCAGTCGTGTGTCGAAATTCATAAGGAAACACAAGCGACTATATGCAATCGACAACATAAGCGCATAAAGACTCAAGGTAATATGAAGAGAAAGAGAAAGGAAGGATTCAGTTTACATCCAATGATGTTTCCGAGATGAGGGACATTATTGACGTAAGGCAGAGCACTGGTGATTAGTATATTTCTCCTGCCAGGAATCGGCAACTTGGGGTCGATCGTGCCGTCTTCCATGGCGAAACAACGAGACCACAAGCTAATTAGGGTTTTCTCGAAGAATCTGAGACAGAGGAGAAAATACGAATCACAGAGGCTGGCTACAAATGAGATGAGAAGCTCTCATACCTAAAGTAACGTATTGGCGGCGGCTCAGAAAGATCCGGTTAATGTTAGACCGGATCGTAATTTGATCAAAGCCGGTTTGATACCTGAAGTTGCAATTACCATTTACATACATTAAGAAATTATAATTATGGATATAATCATATGTTGTGAGTGACCGCAATTGATCACATTCCAATTTTCAATTGCATAAGTGATGATTTTACTAAATGGATAATGATTATCCATTTGCTTTTGTCTTTATACATTATCATATTAAAAGAATAATACTTATTCATAAGTTTTAGATAATATTTATCTATATGTTTTGGATGATGCTTATCTATATGTTTTGTTTCTATACATTAACTTACTTTACTATGAAGTAAAAATTTTCTTATAAATAGGTGATTTCATTCTTTGTAAAATTATAACTTCAGAAGAAGAAAGAAATGAAGTTTTTATGTTCATCTTTCTCTCTTTCTCTCTAAAGTTCAAACTTCTTAAACTATTCTTTGCTTTTCATATAAAGCATTAGTTTACAACACGTTATCAGCACGAGCGTCTCTTCACTTATACCAGAGAGGTAAGATTCATTTATGTTCAATTTATTTTGAATATTATGATTTACGGAAAGATAGGTTTTGCCTTCTCTGTTTATATGTTATGCAGGGATGGAAGGCTCTGCCTCCTCCGAGCTGATCGTTATGGTAGGCGCTGCCTCCACGATCAAATAATTATATCATGCCGAGATGGTAGGCTATGTCTCCTCTGAGCTGATTATGGTAGGCAATGCCTCCACGGTCAAATAATTATATTGTTTATTTATTATGCCAGGATGGTAGGCTCTGTCTCCTCCGAGCTGATTGTTATGGCAGACTCTGCCTCCACAATCAAAAATGATCACATGGCAGACTATGTCGCCTCAGATTATATTTATATATTTATTTATTGTGTGGGAGATTAAAACCTCATCTTTGTTCATTTATTTATTATGCAATCAGCAATTGTATGGTAGGCTCTGCCTCCTCATATTGCTTTTAATTATTATCTTTTATTATGTCGTTACTATGCTCAAATTTTTAATCTAACGAATTAAGCTTCTGTTATTGAGTAATAATTTGTCAAAGCTCGAGATCGCCACCCTTGACTTGTGTGGAAAGAATTATATGTCTTGGGCAGTAGGTGCAAAGTTGCATCTAAAGAGAAATGATCTCTTGAGCACTATCGATATGTCGGAAATGATATTCGATGAAATAAGGCAAATATCATGATCTTTTTACGCCACCATATCCATGATGGTTTAAATGATAAATCCATCACGAATAAAGATCCTGAAGATCTTGGAAAATAAGTGGTTGAATCTCCAGGCGAGAGAATTCACCCAAAGCTCGGAGTTGATATAAATCCTCCTGGTAGCTTAATAATATAATAAACTCGTGATGAGAAACCATCAGTTTTGTCCATCTAAATTAACTCCATTCCTATGGGAGAATGTTGAGTAATCCACTTACAGTAAGTATGATGGACAAATTTAATGTAAGAAAAGGATGATGGTTGGGACGTTGAAAGACAAAAGCTTAATGGTTTTGATGTATTATATGCTTTTGCTTTGAATGTTCTTGCTGTAGGTTCTATTGTACCATAAGCAGTATTGACAGATATGTGTTTAATACTTATTAATACATTTTTTATAAATATTTTAAATTTAAAAATATCAGAATTTGAGATTATGGATGGAGAAATATGTCTAGCAGACAGTGCTACGACACATACAATACTTAAAGATAAAAATTATTTCTCCTATCTCAAAATGAAGGTCTCTGCTGAAAGCGTGAGTACTATAACTGGTATTGCAAAGATTATACTAGGCTCCGGAAGAGCGAGTTTTTCATTGCCAAGGGGTACAGAGTTTGTAGTGCAAGATGCATTATACTCCCCCGAGTCTCAACGAAACTTATTAAGTTTTCGAGATATCCGCAGAAATGGATATCAATCATATTATATTGAGACTATTTATAAAAATGGCTCTGAATATCTTTGCATTACAACGGAGAGTAAATCAGTTGAAAGAGTTACCAATGATGTCCTCTGTATTATATTGCACAAAGATAACCATGGCTGAATCACATGTTGCAGTAAATCAGAAGTTTACCAGCACTTTTAGAGTATGGCATGAAATGTTAGGCCATCCTGGTTCAGTCATGATGAGAAGGATTGTGCAAAATTCGAGTGGCCACCCATTGAAAAACCAGAAGATTTTTCAATCGGGAGAGTTTTCATGTAAGGCATGTTCTCAAGAAAAACTCATATGTAGGCCCTCGCCAGCCAAAGTTGGGAATGAATCCCATGTATTCTTAGAGAGAATACATGGTGATATATGTGGGCTGATTAACCCACCGTGCGGACTATTTAGATATTTCATGGTGTTGATTGACGCATCTAGTAGATAGTCACATGTGTGTCTTTTGACCACAAGAAATATGGTTTTCCCAAGATTAATTACCCAAATAATCAGGTTGAGAGCGCATTTCTCTGATTATGCCATAAAGAAAGTCAGCCTTGATAACGCTGGTGAATTCACTTCAGCGGCCTTTAATGACTATTGTATGTCTTTGGGAATCGATGTTGAGCATCCGGTTCCGCATGTTCATACACAAAATGGCATGGCTGAGTCATTGATTAAGTGGTTGCAATTAATTGCAAGGCCGTTAATCTTGAGAACAAAGCTTGCAAGCACTGTATAGGGACATGCTATACTGCATGATGGGGCATTGGTCAAGATAAGACCAAGTGCGTATAATGAATATTCCCCCATGCAGTTAGCATTTGACCAGAAGCCAGATGTATCCCATCTTCGTGTGTTTGGGTGTGCGGTCTATGTCCCTATATCGCCACCTCAAAGAACAAAAAGGGGACCACAAAGAAGATTAGGAATATATATCGGGTATTCGTCACCAAGTATAATTAGGTATCTTAAGCCGGTAACTGGTGATATGTTCACGGCACGGTTTGCCGATTGCCACTTTGATGAAAGTGAATTCCCTGCGTTAAGATCCCTTAAGGATCAAAGATGCCTAAAGCATTTAAAGAGCTATGTTCGGTCAAACTACAGCGATCACTTTACGGATTAAAGCAATCCGGACGCATGTGGTATAATCGCTTAAGTGAGTATTTGTTGAGTAAAGGTTACGTCAACAATGCGTTATGCCCTTGTGTGTTTATTAAGAAATCTGCATCAGGATTTGTGATCATTGATGTATATGTTGATGACCTGAACATGATTGGAACTCATAAGGAGATTGATGATGCTAGAGCTCATATGAAAGATGAGTTCGAAATGAAAGATCTTGAAAGACAAAATTTTGTCTAGGGCTCCAGATAGAGCATTTCCAAGATGGAATATTTGTGCATCAATCAAATTACACCAGAAGAGTGTTGAAACGCTTTAGTATGGATAAAGAGACTCCTTTGAGTACTCCAATGGTCAACTTGACGTTGACAAGGATCCATTTCGACCTTGTGAAGGTAACGAAGAAATATTAGGTCCTGAAGTGCCTTATATGAGCGCTATCGGTGCCCTTATGTATCTTGTAAATTGTACTAGACCAGATATATCCTTTGCTACTAACTTACTTGCAAGGTATAGTTCATCACCGACGTGCCGGCATTGGAATGGAATAAAGCATATATTCTGTTATCTTCAAGGTTCGATTGAATTTGGATTATATTATTCTAGAAATCCTGAGGTTGGTCTAGTTGGTTTTGCAGATGCAGGATATCTGTCTGATCCGCATAAAGCTCGATCGCAAACTGGATATGTTTTCACATTTAGTGGAACTGCGATCTCTTGGCGATCTCAAAACCAAACTTTGGTCGTGACTTCTTCAAACTATGCGGAGATTATTGCGCTTTATGAAGCATGCAGAGAATGTGTATGGCTTCGGTTGATAGCTCATCACATACAAGAAGCAAGCGGAATAATCACAGACAAAGAACCAACAAAAGTGTTTGAAGACAATGCTGCTTGCGTCGCTCAAATTAAAGAAGGTTATATCAAGAGCGATAGAACGAATCATATCCCTCCAAGATTTTTCTCATATACTTAAGAGCACGAGAAGAAAAAGAAAGTGGATATTCACTATGTTCGTTCAAGTGACAACGCAGCTGATCTCTTCACAAAAGCGCCTCCTACTACAACATACAAGAAACATATTCATAGTATTAGAATGCAGCATCTACGAGATTTGTGAAGAGAGGATGAGATCCATCTTTTCCATGGGGGGGGGGGGTTGCTATTGCTGTACTCTTTTTTCCTTTATCATGGTTTTTATCCCATTGGGTTTTTCCATGGAAAGGTTTTTAACGAGGCAGCATGCAACTTCACAATGATGGATACTCAGGCGTCATTTTGAGGGGGAGCGTTACTATAGCATCCGTATCCGAGAAAATATAGAATGATCGTACCGACAGGGCAGTGTCTGAGGAATGATCGAGCCAAGGGTCGAGAATGGGCTGGGAAATGGAGGTTCGGACTATGGTCGGGTGTTGACCGGTGAAATAGTAGGATGTGGCTGGATAGCCGAGCCGGATGGACCATATCCGAGGGAAAACAGGGTCCAGTCCGTGGGAAATGGGATTTATCCGAGTGCAGTGGGATATATCCAAGAGTCTGGGAGGTTAGTCCGAGTGTTAGTGGACTGTCTCCGAGGGGGAAAAATGAAAACCTCCGAGAGAAATAGATGATTAGCCGAGGCGGGACGAGTTGTCCGAGAGGAAAAGGAAAATCCGGATGGAAAATGGAAAACACCTTGGATAAGGGCGGTTTATCCGAGTGGGAAGCGATTTGGGTCGTGGGCCAAGTGTTAGGTCGGTTATTTTGGGGTTTATCGAGTGGATGGTCGAGCCGGTACAGGGAATAGCCGAGAAAAATCGAATCGGACCGGGATAATCCTACTGGAACCAGGAAAACGTCGGATAAGTCCGGGTTACCTAGGGTTTTACGAGTATATAAGGGAATTTGAGACTTAACTCGAGGGTGTTGCGTTTATTTGAGCTAAATAAAGCAAAGAGAGAGTTTAGTCAAGAGAAAACCCTAAGAAAATCAGTTTATCCCGAGGACATCCGAGAGAGATCAGACTATCGTCGAGCAGAACCGACCATCGCCGAGATAAACTGGTAAGCGATCGGATATTTCCCTAA